CACACAGTTCAAGGACATCAAGCCACTGATTAAGGTTTTTGAGATTAAGGCCTTTTGGGGGGTACTAGGGATTGAACCTAGGGCCTTATCACTGAGCCACATCCCCAGACCACCCCACTTTGACACAGGTTCTCCCTAAATCACTGCATTACCCAGCTGGCCTCCGACTTCCAATCCTCCTGCCTCAGACCCCTGAGCACTGGGATTACAGGTGTGCACCGCCATGCTCGGCTGAGAAGAAGCTTTACACGAGCAAACCCTAATTCAGAGAATATCTCCGGACCGTGCTGCCCCTCCCCTCCCTTCAGCCCTCCACGGCTACTGAGCGCTTCCTCATGCCTTCTGGGTGGGCAGATCCAGGGCCATAGCTGACTTATAAGCTCCAATTCCAGAAGGTTCTATTATCAAGGCCACCACAAAGGATGGCCCACCACAGATGGACCTGCACCACCTCAGCAGCCCGGCCAGAACCGCCCTATTAGCCCCCTTGTACGGATGACTAAGCTGAGACACACTTGCCCAAGGCTGCACAGCTCGTCAGTGGTAGCGCCAGGAGTCAAACCCCAGGTGCACCTGACCCCCACGCACATCCTGGTCTTGCATGAAAATGACCCGGAAGCATTTAGTAAGTGCAGACACCAGTCCTCACCTCAAACCCACTGAATCGCAATGTCTGGGGTGAGTTCCAGGAAGCTGTTATTTAAAAAAAAAAAACAAGTTCCCCAGGTGGAGCTGAGGCCTCCACCCAGAAGACTGGCCCTCACTAGGCCACACTGCCTTCCCAGGACATGGTGAGGCCCCGAGCAGGAACAATAAAAGGCAGCCACTGTCACCGGCCGCCTTCCTCCTCGTTAACCTTACACCATCAGTCACCGCGGCTGACAGGAGTTGACAGGAAGCAGAGCTGCGGCAGGAAGTAGAGGGGGTCTTTACCGAAAGATGTGCCTGCCCTTCAGGGACAGGCTTTGCGTCACGTCACACCCAAGGACCCCAGGTTACCTGCCCCACTGCAGGGGAAGGGAAACAGGGCAAAATCACGGATGACACGGGACGGGGATGTGTCCCATTCCATCTCCATAAGAAAGCTGGTCCAGAGTGTGTGTCCTACCCTGCCCTGCACGCCCGGCCTGCCCGTCACTGCAGGCCAAGTGGCGCCCGGTTTGGGCCCCGGAGATAATGGCTCAGGCAGCAGGGCCCTTGGTGATTTGCTCACTAGGGGAAGCAGTGATTTTGTCTCCCCTCCTTCCTCGGTGCCCCCTTGGGGACCGGACCAGCGGGCCAGGCAGCAGAAGTGTCCAGCTGCAGAGCAGAAGTGTCCAGCTGCGGAGCAGAAGGGCCACTCGCTAATCAGGCCAAGATCAGAGGCCAGGCTTCAAATAAGCTCCGTTCCCTCACCTTGCCCCTAGGGTCACCGAAGGGCCCCCCCAAAGCCTGCCACCTGGTCATAACAGGAAGCGGCTGGAGTGCAGACAGAGGAAAACAAATCCAGCGCCACTCATAGAAACGGCCATCGGGTGACCAGCGACAGGCAGTGATTCAGGGGCATCTTGGGTTTGAAGGACACCGCATCAGAAGTGACCTCATGGCGCCTAATCAGTTCCAGAAAAGCACTTTGTTCTTCTGAGGCAAGGTGGGAGATGAAAGCATTTCTTGCTAATCATCATGGAGCATTAATTACTCGTTCAGTAACCCGATTCGGTCAGACCCCGCTCCCAGCCTGCATCCTGGCAGCCTCACTGAGCACCCTTGATCTTTCAACCCAGACTGCGAACCTGGGAACCGGAGGCCCGGTGGCCCAGGCACAAAGTCTTTCAGTTACTCCTTCCTTTCCTGTTAATTTTCGAACCCCGGCGGCAGGAAACGCAGAAACACAGCACTAGCCGCCCCCCTGCCACGTTTCAGTGGTTCTTCGGAAGCCCTGCAAGGCGCGGGCCGAGAAGGGAGGGCCCCCCTCTGAGCCTCTCTGAGTCCCCCTTCCTCGGCAGGACCATGGAGACCTGTCCACCTCTATCTTCCTCTAAGGATGAGGGGCTGGGGATGCGGATCAATGGCACGGGCCAATGCCAGCCCTGCAAAGAACAACCTGAACTCCTGGCCAGGGTTCACAGCATCAGCAAGGGTATAAAGGGCCACGAAGCGATCAGGGCAGGATGTGGGGAGCGAGAAGGGAAAGAAGCAGAGAAAAACAGGGAAGGCTCCGACACACGTTGGACTATTACTGGACCACAAAAAGAAAGACTGATCTATGCTACATCATGGGAAAACCTCAAAAACACGATGCCAAGCCAAAAAAGTCCAGGCAAAAGCTGACATATTCACTCACGAGTTCATCATTAAAAGTGCCCAGAGCAGGCCCACGAGGACAGAAGTGATGAGTGGCTGCTCAGGGGACAGGGAGGAAATATTGGGGCGAGAGGAAATGAGGTTTCTTGTTTCCTTTTTTAATTTTTTTTTGGTCTTGGTTTGGTTTGCTTTTGAGACAAGGTCTCACTATGCAGCCCAGGTTGGCCTCCAACTGAGAGATCTTCCTGCCCCAGCCTCCCCAGTGCTGGGATTACGAGTATGTGTCACCCCTCCCGGCTGTTTTTTTTTTTTTTTTTTTTTTTTTTT